TGTGGAAAGATTTTAAAGGACTTTTTGGTTCAATCTAGCCTATGTGCTTGTTCGCGATAGTTTAAAAAATTGATAAAATAGTGGATCGAAGTTAACAATTAATTTTAGCACATATTTTATGGGATTCGCTATTTTTACCAACTTTCAACCATATGTTTTAGCCATTTTTATAAAAAATTTCTAATTTTATTTAAAGCTTTGTCAAATAGTCTCTTTTTTTGGGCGAGGGTTTTGATCTTGTTAGGTTTTTGAGTCTATTAATAAAAATTAAAAAATTGACTCTTGAAAAAGTAATACTAAAATATAACGTACTCTCAATGTAACACGCATCCCCGAATAATATATATCATTGTGTTCCTGAAAAAATACAAATTAAACAACTCAATATTGAGTTTTAATATTTTAAAAAAAAATATTTTCTATATTATTAATATTTAAGAAAAATATTAATTTATCACTCTTGAAGAAAATAAATTATAAATTTCAATATTTTAGAAGAATATTAACATATTATTCTTGAAGAAGCAGTAATACAAGACAAAGTGCTCTCGAAGTAGCACAAGTTTCGAAAAATATATCATTTTGAATTCATGTTTATCTCTGAAGGAAAATATATAACTCATGTCATATTGACATTGATTAACCTGTCTACTTGATTGATTATTATTTCATTATATAACGTTTAATTATATTTTTCGAAATCAAATATTGAATTAATGGACTAAGCACAAAGATTTGTTCTTGACCATGAATGATATTTCTTAAGCCAAATTTAAACAAAAGGTCTGTAAAGAAAGAGTGTGTATGCTCAATCATTTGTTGTGAAAAAACTTGTGGTGTTGTTAAAGATAAGGACATAAACGAGCCAACTTGCGAGCCGAAAACTTGTGGCTTGGGTAATAATAAATTTTTAATTCAAAATTTTATAAAAAAATAAAAAAAATTAAATCATAAATATTTAATTCAAAATTTTATTAAAATTGAAAGAAGTGAAAATTGAAAGAAGTCCTGAGATGCAATTTCTTGAAAACTAACAGAGAAGTCCTATTCAAAGTTTACGCGTATAAGATTATCTTCTATACTCGGAAATATTAATAATTTTATAATCAATTTATTATTTATCATGAGTCAAGATATTATATATCAATGAAAAAACCAACAACGTTACCGACAACTTTCCCTTTCTTGTACTTAAACCGACCATTTGACTAATGACGATTTATAGATTACGTCGAAAACATTACGTCACGAAACATAATTAATAATGTCATTAAGTTACCCAACCAATGACTTAAAGTCATCAATAAAGACATTTGTTGGGAGTAGTCAAGTCAAACACGATCTTTAGCCCCTGTTTGACACCCATTTTGGGTAAAAAATAAATTTTGAAATAGTGATTGATGGAAGAATGTGTGGTTGAAAAGTAATGAGAATTTTTGGGTTTATATGTAGTATTATTTTATTGATAGAATGTGTGGTTGAAATGAAGAAAGAGAAGAAAAATGAGAATGAGAATGAAAAGAAAATGGATGTCAAACGGGAGCTTAGTAAAATACGTAACTAAAATGGAAAGTAATTAAGACACGAAATAGAAATAAAATATATTACAGTTGTCCTGTCTCCTTCTTCTTGTTTTTTTTTTAGGCAACATTTATCTTTTTGTACAAATACTTTTGGTCTTGTTTACTAATGGAATTGTTAAAATGAAATAATATTGTATATCGAACAATCAAGTTGAAGCGAATTGAAGTCCGACGACTACTATCAAACATTAATTGTTTTAGTTTATAAAGTTTATCTAATGAAATTAATTCTCATCCAATAACGAAAGTGATAAATATTAAACATAATTGCGATGTTTACAAATAATAAGATATTCTTTAATGAGAAATCACTAAAATAATTTTGACAAATTATTTAACTGAAATCGAGAATCAAAATTTTAAATGTTGGGTTGTATTAAACAAGATTAAATAATAAAATAATTTTTATTTTCTTATTTTTATTCTCTAATATAGTCGACTAGCAATTTGACCAAGATAAGATTCAAATGAAAAAGTCTATTGCAATAACCATCATTCACTTACAAGAATCAAGTGAACACAAAACAAAAAATTTATTTATGTGAAAAAAACAATAATATACATGCATCCATGAATATAATTTTATTTACAATTCATGCAAACATTTTCACACCATCAACAAAACCCCCACCCTATAGGCTATACATACCAACCTGAAAAATGAATGAAATATTAGAAGAAGATAAAAACACTGTTGTTACATGAATAATGCTACTTATCATTATGATGATTGAACATCAGTGATGTTGCAGTTTACATTAAATAATGAGATTGGACAATTCAATTTCTACGATAGGGAGTGGAAGGAGAGAGAGAGAAATGTAATGAATAATGAATTGCCACATCATCCCTTCTATCATCATGATAAATAACATTACTTCTGTCACATGCCACGCAAGCACAACTCCACCACGACATTGGAAATCAGCATCGTTGGATCGCCCAGAAGAGCAGACAATAGAATCTTGACAAATGATTTGATTGTAGAAAGGAAGGTATTTCCTCTCCGTCTATTTCTATTACTTCTAACTAATTCTCTTAAATCCATATTCTCCAACGCCAAATCCCCATACTTCATGTATACCTCTTGTACCATTTCAGTTAAACAAAACACGTGAAAATGATTCTTTTCGCACGGAGAAACATAAGACCATCCCAAAACATTTTTCTGATCACGAGAAATCTTTCGCTTTCCGCACTTACCGCACTTCGATGAAACCTTTGTCTTCAGATCAAATATCGTACCATCAATCACTATTTTCTTTTCAAGTTTTCGACAATATGGGTGTAAATCCTTGTTGTCTACTTCACAGTGGTAGGTAAAACCGCATATGTCCTTTCCACATGCATCGCAGCACTTCGAAAACTCTATGCGATTCTTTTCATCCAGTCTAGTGAATGGTTTATCGAGAAATGTGAAGACGGAGCCAGCAAAATTCTCGTGGGAAACTTCAGATTTGGGGTGCCTACACTCTGTGTGTAGTTCGTTACCACAAAGATTGCACGTGTACCTTTCTCCTAACCCTTTCATCTTGCAGCCGTCGCAGTTGAACAACTTTGCATACGTTTTCAACTCATAGTGCTCATAGCAATCATGGTTTTGTGATCTAGTTATCGACATATTGTCTCCTGAAAATGTAAATAATGAACTAAGCACACGATTGGTATGATACCAAGGACTCGATTAGACTAGACCGAACAATATAAATAGAAGAAAGTTTAAATATAGTACCTGATTTGCTCGTGACTATGAATGCTATTTCTTCAGCCAAATTCAAACAAAAGTTTCGTAAAGAAAGAGAGTCTATGCTCAAGCAATTGTTGTGAAGATCCTTGTGACTTGTGTTGTTAATTACTGGCTTTTTTATAAAGCGATCTAACGCGTAAACAGCGTGTTTAAGTAGAACCTTGTTGAAGAACCTTGTTGCGTCTCAAGCCTCGGTTTCCACACATTTTTAAAATTATCCTCTATTTTTATCCGACGGTGAGCTGCACGTGTAATTTATATACAATTCCACGAGTTAATTACATCAGTCACTAAAATTTTGACTAATTAACTTAATGATCATTGAAGTTATTGTTTTACGTTAATGTGCACTCAAATTTTATAAATTAATACAATAATAATCACTTGGTTAAAAATAATGTTATCCAACTCCAATAGTGTCAGAATATTAATTTATGATATGTTCAATGAAATGTGAAATTATTAAAATCATTTAATTAAACTCGTCTCTAATGTCATTAGTGTTTCCACCTAATGTCATTAGTGTTTCCACCGAACTTTTTTGGACCGAGCTGAGCCAGCAAAAGCTTGGCCAAAAATTTTAGGCTTGATCCGAACTTTCGGCTCAAGCTTTTACGACCTGAGCCGAGCTCTTTGCATGCAGCTAAATTATTTTATTTTTTTAACTTTTTTTTTTCTAAAACACGGGCCGGCCCATGCTCGAGCTAATGCCCCAAAATGGGGCTCGATGGAACCGAGTCACGAGTCGGCCCAACTCAGACTTTTTTCGGGCCAAGTCAATGAGCTTTTTTACCATCCCTAATCTAAATCGGTGTTAAAAACTAGTGGTGCTAAATAACACTACTCCTTAATTAAATATATTATTGTTAAATCTTACACCTCTTGCACCATTTCCCCTCAATCCCACGCATATATTATAATATAAATCACTATTTTTGTAGAAGATTCGAGGAATATGGTGACTGATTTTGCCAATAGGCTTATTTTTATTTTATGAATTGTAATATATTTATTAATTTTCACAATAATTTCCAAGACATTCACGGTTGGTCTTCGTCTTCGACAAAGTGAATACAGATGTGTCCAAGCTAAACATAATTTCCAAGAAAGCAAGTGATATTGCACCATAATTTCCAGGAATTGGTTGGTCTTCTTCTTCATGAAATTAAAATATAAGAATTTTGATTTGTTGCTTATTTGCTTCTTAACTTTTTCCAGAAATTTTTTTGGTCGGTTCCAACTCGGATACGCACTAAAGTCTTTTGGCCTTCGTCAATGAAATTAAATCTAATTTTTATAAAATAATCACAACCGTAAAATATTTATTAATAATGAAAATCACAAAAAATATTGTAACGAACGAAGGATCATGCAAACTGTTAGGATTTTGACTTAGCCTCGGTTTGCCTTAGTTAAAAAAATTGATAAAAAAAAAATTAATTTCAAATCAGTAATTAATTTTAATGAAACATTTTATGGAATCGGATAGGGTTGTGTTAGTCTATTTCAATATTTTAGAAGAATATTAACATATTATTCTTGAAGAAGCAGTAATACAAGACAAAGTGCTCTCGAAGTAGCACAAGTTTCGAAAAATATATCATTTTGAATTCATGTTTATCTCTGAAGGAAAATATATAACTCATGTCATATTGACATTGATTAACCTGTCTACTTGATTGATTATTATTTTATATATAACTCATGTCATATTGACATTGATTAAGCTGTCTACTTGATTGATTATTATTTTATTATATAATGTTTAATTATATTTTTCGAAATCAAATATTGAATTAATGAACTAAGCACAAAGATTTGTTCTTGACCATGAATGATATTTCTTAAGCCAAATTTAAACAAAAGGTCTGTAAAGAAAGTGTGTATGCTCAATCATTTGTTGTGAAAAAACTTGTGGTGTTGTTAAAGTTAAGGACATAAACGAGCCGACTTGCGAGCCGAAAACTTGTGGCTTGGGTAATAATAAATTTTTAATTCAAAATTTTATGAAAAAATAAAAAAAATTAAATCATAAATATTTAATTCAAAATTTTATTAAAGAATAAAAAAAAAATTAAACAGGCGGGGCGGGGTTCTCGTTCTCGTCCTCCAAATCACATCCCAATTAAGAATGCCATATATATTTTCTAAAAAAAAATGATAATCTTATCGAATGATATTCTTATTAGAAATTTAAATTATTAAACAAGAAAAAAAAAAGGATTCTATATTTAGTTATTCAAATCACTTTCATTAATTAAAAAAAGTGAAAATTGAAAGAAGTCCTGAGATGCAATTTCTTGAAAACTAACAGAGAAGTCCTATTCAAAGTTTACGCGTATAAGATTATCTTCTATCCGCGGAAATATTAATAATTTTATAATCAATTTATTATTTATCATGAGTCAAGATATTAGTATATAAATAATATGATATTAATTAAATATCAATGAAAAAAACCAACAACTTTACCGACAACTTTCCCTTTCTTGTACTTAAATAAACCGACCATTTGACCAATGATGATTTATAGATTACGTCGAAAACACATAAGTAATAATTTTATTAAGTTACCCAATGATTTAAAGTCATTTGATGGGAGTAGTTAATTAACTAATCAAGTCAAACACGATCTTTAGTAAAATACTTAACTTAAAAGGAAAGTAATTAGTACACGAAATCTAGATCATTAATAGAAATACAATATGTTACAACTTTTTTTTTTCCTTTCTTAGTAATGTGTTAGACAACTTTTATCATTTTGTACAATTACTCTTACCAATGGAATTGTTAAAATGAAATAAAATTGTATATCGAACAATCAAGTTTGAAGCTAAGCGAATTGAAATAGAAAGAAGTCTAATTAAATTTTGAATAATGCTACTTGCAGTTGCTCACTGCAGCAGTCGTCATATGTGGCACACACATATTAGGTGTGTATTTGATGCAATTACCACATTAATGCATCAAATAACTACTTGTCATGTATGTGACACATAGGACGACTGCTGCACTGAGCAACTGCAAGTAGTATTACTCTTAAATTTTCCCTTTGATTCTTGATGACCTAATAGTGGCCTTATTATTGTAATCATTAATTGTTTTAGTTTATAAAGTTTATTTAATGAAATTAATTCTCATCCAATGACGAAAGTGATAAATATTAAACATAATTGCGAAGATAAACCTTTAAATGAGAAATCACTAAAATAATTTTGACAAATTATTTAACTGAAATCGAGAATCAAAATTTTAAATGTTGGGTTGTATTAAACAAGACTAAATAATAAAATAATTTTTATTTTCTTATTTTTATTCTCTAATATAGTCGACTAGCAATTTGACCAAGATAAGATTCAAATTAAAAAGTCTATTGCAATAACCATCATTCACATACAAGAAAAGTAAAAAGTACAAAACCACAGTTATGTCTCATGATTGGAAAAGAGAATTGAATCAAGTGAACACAAAACAAAAAAATTATTCATGTAAAAAAAAACAATTATATACATGCATCCATGAAATTGTCACACGGCACGCGAGAACAACTCCACCACGACATTGGAAATCAGCATCGTTGGATCACCCAGAAGAGCAGACAATAGAATCTTGACAAACGATTTGATCGTCGTAAAGAAGGTATTTCCATTCCTTCTGTTTCTATTATTTCTAACTAATTCTCTTAAATCCATATTCTCCAACGCCAAATCCCCATATTTCATGTACGCCTCTTGTACCATTTCAGTTATACAAAACACATGAAAATGATACTTTTTGCACGGAGATACATAAGACCATCCCAAAACATCTTTCTCATCACGAGAAATCTTCCGTTTTCCGCACTTACCGCACTTCGATGAAACCTTTGTCTCAAGATCAAATATCGTACCATCAATCACTATTTTCTTTTCAAATTTTCGACAACATGGGTGTAAATCCTTGTTGTCTGCTTCACTGTGATAGTTAAAACCGCATATGTCCTTTCCACATGCATCGCAGCACTTCGAAAACTCTATGCGATTCTTTTTATCCACTCTAATGAATGGTTTATCGTGAAATGTGAAGACGGAGCCAGCAAAATTCTCGAGGGAAACTTGAGATTCGGGTTGCCTACACTCTTTGTGTAGTTCACGACCACAAGGATTGCACGTGTACCTTTCTCCAAACCCTTTCATCTTGCAACCGTCGCAGTTGAAGAACTTTGCATACGTTTTCAACTCATAGTGGCAATCATGGTTTTGTGATTTCGTGATCGACATATTGTCTCCTGAAAGTGTAAATAATGAACTAAGTACACGGTTTGTATGATACCAAGGAGTCGACTAGACCGAACAATATAAATAGAAGAAAAAGTTTAAATATAGTACCTGATTTGCTCATGACTATGAATGCTATTTCTTCTGCCAAATTCAAACAAAAGATTTGTAAAGAACGAGTGTCTACAGTGCATTTTATGCATAGCAAAAGGGTTTATATATAGTTAGATTTAACGCGTAAACACGTTTTCAGGTTGTGATTTTTTTTTTTTTTGAATAATACAATAAATATATATTATCAACATCTTAATGACTTGCCTGTCAAGTCTCTCTTGAAGAATAATCTTCACCTTCTTAATTAAGCAATAGTTTCCACGCATTTTGAAAGAAAAATGTTATTCATCCCCAGTGGGGATGCATCCCCAGTCTATGTGGATGTAAATTATTGATTAAATGATAGAAGATTGACGCATCGCAACGCATTACGCATTTTAGAACACTGGTTTTGAGACGAGAAAAAAAAATGTTATCCATCCCCAGTGGGGATGCATCCCCAGTCTATGTGGATGTAAATGATTGATTAAATGATAGATAAAATTAAATGATTTATTTAATTTCACATATCATTTAATACCACATTAACGTCACATAGACTGGGGATGCATCCCCACTGGATATGAATAGCATTTCTCATTTTAAGAGTTTGTCTGACAAAACTAATAATCAGAATTCCTACCGTTAGTGCCGCACATTTTGACTTCTATGTGAGAGGGTGGGTCCCATTTTTGAAATATTAACGGTCAAAAAATCAATGTGTTCTTGATTTTTAGTTTTGCCAGACAGGTTGTAAAATTATCCTCCATTGTTATCCAACAGTCAACTGACACCTAATTTATGTACAATTCCATGCTTTAATTACATTGTCATCACCAAAATTTTGAATAATCATC